ATAGTTTATTTTAAGTAGTTCCTGGTCTTCATGAGAAGGTGAAGAAGTGAAGTCTGGACATCTTTACTGATAGCCTTAAAGCAGAAATTTAGGGCACTAAAACAGGTGGGAGGATCTCTGACTTTTACACCTAATATGGTATATATGACCTCAGTTTGAAGCACTGGAATCTTGGGGTGGCTTACTACAAGTGAAATCCCCGTGTGGAAGCCAAACCCAAGCCTCCTCCATTATAATAAAAACAAGGTGAAATGATTTGCTTTGAAATGGTCATGTTTTCAACTGTGCTATATTTTTTTCAAAACATTTTTTCTTATTATTTCCTCAAATAACCATTTTTCTTTCTTATTTAATGAGTAGAACCTGAAATGATTTTTTTCTCGGTTACAAAATCTCAGCTCCTCTAAATAATTTTTTTAAACACCACCACAAATATGCTTCTTAACATAGATTGACTAACATAGGCAGAGTCCATGGACATTTCTAAATACTTTTGTAACATATAGGAAGTCGTTGGTGTTGCTACAAGTAATTACCAAAAGATCCTTACATTGACATGTTTTTCTTACTGACAAAGAATCTTGTGTTTTAATCAGAGTTTCAATCCCACAGAGAAATTAGGATACATCTGATACACGTGCTGAGAACTGTGAAGAAACAAAATTTCAACAACTTGAGTTTTAAAGATCAAATTGGCTTTTATCGGTGATTCTGAATCAAGCTGCATTCAGTCTACAAAATAGATAGGCATTCTGCTGGGCGTGGCAGAGCGATTGGTTTTTGTAAGGAAGCTTGAACAGGAATTAAGAAATAGCACAGCAAAAAGTGGAATGGTTAACATCAGGTTACTTCAGGTTACTTTCCTTGTGTGGGTTAAAGCAGAGGTAACTTCTTTATGCCAGCTTAGGTAGATCAGGTCCCTTTTGATTTGATCGCTTACTGTGAATCTCCTAGTTATTATTATTATTTTTGGGGGGGATTTTATTATCATCTTTCTCCCAATTTCTCAGAAAGCCAGATCTTACAAGTAAACAGTGTAGGCTTCCTTATGGTGATGTGGGACCCCAGCTTGAGTGACTCTATCTTGCTTTGGTCTATTGAGGCCTAGTGTAGGTACTCAGTCCCAAATCAATGGCTCCCCATAACTTTTATGTAATAAAACCAGAGTCATGAGGATTAGGAACCTTTTTTTTTGCATTTATTATTTTTGTATATCTTATTTCTTTTTATAAGAGAGATTTCCATTTTTTTCCTTACAACTCTCCTGTTACTGCTTATTTGTAAATTTGAATATTTGATAATTATAGGAATAGTTAATTCCAGTTAATATTATTTGAACCACTATTATCTTCCTGGTATTCTTAGTCATATCATCTAAAGTTCAGAGAAACTAGACACTCTTTAATAGCAGAGTGGAATGTTCTGAAAGACAACCACCTCAAATAAACCATGAGGCAGGGTGCCCTGTGGGTCCTGGCCCAAACAGCTTTGTTATCCTTGGTAACATAAAAATGAGCTTTCCTAAGACAGAAAAGCATCAAAAAGCAGAGAAAAGTGCAAAACATATAAACTCTTAAGCCTCAGGTGATTTGAAAATGAAAAGAAAGGCATAGCAAACTTATTTGAAAACACTGAAGGTACCTCGGCAAGGGGACCCTTCCCTGAGCACCACTGAGAATGTCCCATTTAGTAAGTCAAACTTTACATCCTTTTACATATTTGAATTTTTTTTTTGCACTCTGTCTGCTTTGGGGAGTAAATCTTTTGCTGAAGTTACAGAAACTTAAGCCCTTAGCATACAAGTCAGGCTGTCAAGGTTGAGCATGGATGATTGTCCACTCCAAAGTTCTAAATTAATCTCTCAAATAGGATGCCAGGCAGCACTAACTCAGCCCACATAACTTTAAGAACTTCTTGTGAATCCTTCACACATAATTTCTTAATCATTTTCAGGAGAATTTTTCTGAAAGACATATGTAGTGTGAACAGCCATTCTGCTCTTCCTGATGTTAATAGTACTCCCCAATAAGTAGTATTTCATTCTGATGCATCTCAAGGGACCAAAAAACATCTCTTTTCATGAACTTGAAGCAGCAGTTTTGCTCTGAAAAAGAATTTGCATGGAGTAGACCTGACTACATCCCAAACCTTTTCAATGGACAGATAGTTGTGGAATATCATTTTAGGTTTTATGAAGAAAGCATAGTTCTTATCCTTAAGGTGCTTTCAATATGTAAGAGAAATTCAAATAAAAAATTATGTATCACCAATGACTACTGCCAGACTTGAAATGCCCCGAATCCTGTGAAATATGCTAGTGTTATTTCACAGCATCTATTTTAGTTATTTCTTAATTAGTCCATGAATTCTTTAAAGGCAGGAGTTTTAGGAATGTGAGTCTGTGCTACTACACACTTGTTGGTTGATGTTTCAGATCATAGAGAATCTACTTTCTCTTTTGGTGAATTGTTTTCTTCTATTCTCCAGTGTCTTGGAATGTCTCTAAGAGAATACCCAGATTTTCCCATACTGTTGCATCATCCATATATAGGTGGCATAATGACTTTCTTATAATAAGTTGATATGGCATTATATAATTAGAGAATCTTAGGAATAAAGCTGACTTTGAATAGTCATTAACTCATTCCCTGACCTAAAGCAGAAGTGTGACTTTATTTTTTCACTCTGTCACCAAATGTATGGTGAGGTTTCTTTCATGTTTCATATAGGCTGCAGATGAGGGTGGTCCCACACTTTGCTATTCACTGTTGGCAGATCTGAAGGTAGGGGCGGAAAAGAAATATTATTTCCTTATCTATTGCTAGGTTGATGACCGATACCTCTGTGACAAAAGAGAGATAAATGAGAGAAAAGTGTAAAAAATACATGTAATCAAAGTTTTATGTGACCCGGAAGCTTTCAGAAATGAAGAATCAAGGAATGGGGATTCTGCATCTTTAGGTTTGTTTAAGAGTGGATGGGTATGTCAAAGAATGGTTGGATAAGAGGGGATATGATCTAATGGTAACAAACCAGGAGAACATGGCAAGGCCAGTTGGGTCAGATTCTTCTTGGCACCACTATGTCTTCATCCCTTTTCTCCAGGTATAGGGCAGGACACCTATCACAGGAGAGTCTTGAAGAGAGGTCAGAGACACTTTTCAGCTTTTTAGTTTTCACAGATTCCAAAGTACTGTATTTTGGGGTTGTGTGTACAGAACCCCAACAGGAGCGAGATCTTTTTCTATAATAATCTGATCATGTGAAGCTGGATCAGCATGAATGAACCACCAAGGCAAAGTGATTTAGATCAATAACATGTAATGTTCCTGAATATCAAAAAGCAAGCCCTTTCAGGATAAAAAAACTGAGAGAATGGAGGCCCCAAGAAGACAGACAATAGGACTGACAGCTTAAAACCAGGGACTGAGATCTTTTTTGAGCAATACATTTTCCCCCAACTCTTGCTCCTATTCATCTCTTTCCATGGCTACTTGGAAATTAATGCCACCAAGCTTTTCAGTGACATTACCACTATATGAATGTTTTTCTCCTGTAGAATTTAGGAAACTAGCAGCTCAGAAAAAATTTTTATTGATTTAAAATTTTTTTTCTTGAAATACAGAATTTTATTTAGAAACTGTTTAATAAAAGTGTGTGTATTGGGGGCAACCCTGTCAAAAAGACAGATAGAAAATAGGTTTCTGATAAAAATGGAATTTTAGGACAACAAAGATCTAAAAGTCCACTTTGGAAGAATGGCTAGTTACTTGCGTTTTTTGACATTTTTAATCAATGAATCTGGGTTCTCCTCTGAATTTCATACAGAGTATGCACTACACAGCAATTTTATCATAAAATAATACCTGTTTTCTACATACATTTTTGGACAAGCTACCACTATAAACAGATCAACACAAACCCGTCAGTAGTAACATATATTTTACACAATTCTGCCAGAAAAAGGGACTGAATAGGCCATGGGAAAAGCAAATAAGGTGAAGAAATTGAATATTTTCAGTATTAAGAATTAATCCAGACATAGTACTGTATTTCTGCAAAAGAAATTAATATTTAGTAACACAATAGGAAATTTTCTCTCTAAAAGAGACTAGTGCACTGGCAAAGTATTTGGCTAACAGTGGAGAGCCATAAACACCAGATATTGAAACCACCTAGCCTTGTAGATTCGGAGGCAAAGATGGCCTTCACTGATCATGCCTTTGCTAGGGGTCCAGCAAGAACTTGCAGCATGATCATCTGCCTGCTTACTTCCAATAGTAAGCAGCAAACTTAAGGAGCCAAAGAAGAGTCTCCAATGGGCAAGGGGAACAGAGAGGAGAGACATGTTATACGTAAACTTAAACAGGAAAAGAGGACACAACCCTTATCCAAATCTCAGAGATGTGGTCAAGTTCCCCCAAATAGGGGTTAGATTAAAAAACTGAACAAAACATTTCCCATAAAAGACAATACATAGAAATTTCAGGAATGAATTAAAAAAAACACCATCACATCTCCGGGCTGAAAAATACCTTCATCCAGGCAACCATGCATCTTGATTTATATATATATATATATATATATATATATATATATATATATATATATATATAAAGAGAGAGTGAGAGAGGAGAGAGAATTTTTAATATTTATTTTTTAGTTCTCCGCGGACACAACATCTTTGTTGGTATGTGGGACGAAGAACCAAACCGAGCTGCATGCATGCCAGGCGAGCGCACTACCACTTGAGCCACATCCCCAGCCCTGCATCTTGCTTTTAGCAGGGATGCAATTGATCAATGATACCAAATGACTTTACAGAGAAACTTCTTAACTCTCCTATTGAGCCAAAGCCTAGAACTGTGAGGATTTAAGCAACCCTGCAAGACCTGTGACAGCAGGTTCCAAAGGTTCTGAGATCTGGCCCTTCTTTCCCAGACAAAATGTTAGACACATGTCATGTTACTCTATTTCGAAATATGGAAGCATACTTTAAATATTCTTAAGGCATTTGTTTATTGAAACATTCTCTGACAAGATTTCACATTAGTTTAAAACTCAAGTTGGTCTTTATATTTCTCTACTGAAGTCTCCACCTCAGCGGATTACATCAGAATACCTCCAGCAATCAGTTGACCACCATCCTCAAGGTGAGCCCCACCCATGGTCAACTTTTTTTTTGTTTCCCAGGGGAATCAACTAGATGTTAATTCTAGTTGCTCTGCTGGTGTAGGTTGTTAAAACTCTTCTTGTTCCTCCTTTGGGGCCCCTTCATTGGATGTCACAAAGCCTTGGTCTCTGGCATAGAGAATGTCTACAATCCTCTGCAGTATGGGGTCACTTTCCCCCTCATTCTCCTGGCAAATCAATTCAATGTTCCTCAGCTTTCCGAAGTAGAAATCTCTCTCTTTCTCCAAACCTTCTACAGTATGCTTCAATACGTTGACCCGCTGCATCCATTCGGCTGCTTTGCTGTCGCCGTCTCCCATACCAGGATTCTTTCGCACCACCCCTGGGGCGACCTTGGGAGTTGCGGTAGTTTTCCGTGTTGAAACGGTTCTCTGGGGAGCCGCACTGCTGGAGTGGAGGGGTCTCTTCTGTTTGTTGGGAGCTGCAGCAACCAGGGAAGGAGTGCCTGCAGTTTCTCGACCTTGTCTGGCAGCTACAGGGTCATGGTCTTCTCCTTTATAGTTTGCATCAAAAAATTTCTTGAACCACTGCGCGAACTCAAAATTGTCCTGAAATTTTCCTTTCACTAATTTATCCACAGGAATTATTTTGTCAACTCCCATCTTCTTAAAACCTGCTTGCAGTATTTTGAGGTTCTGGATATATTCATGTTCTAGCTTGGCTTGGAATTTCACTTTCTTCAAGGCAATGGAGCCAGGGAATAGCATGTCCATAAACTGACAATAGGCAGCCCCTGAGCACAACTGTTTGATCTTTGTCACATTCAGCTGCAGAGACTCATTGATCCAGGCCAGCATGTCCAGTCGACTTAGGTCGGTCCGGGTCACTGCCATCTTCGGTTGAGTCTTCCGACTCCGTCAAACTGCCGATCCTGCCCAAGCGTGATGACCTCAGACGCACCCGCCCCGATGCCTCGGGACGTGCTGACGTAAGCCAGAATTAATTTTTAAAATTAAAAAAATATATTTTTATTATAGATTAAATAAACCTATCTGCATGCTGCTCTTAGATGCACAGTGACAGAATAGTAATTTCAGTTGTAGGTATTTCTCTCTTTTAAAAATCAATATACAGGATTTTTTTTTTCCAAAAAAGGACCAGTAATAGGACCATACGAGTCCTCTGGATTCTATTATAAATTTCTGACTGTATGTGGTTAACATTAACAGGACATGCATTGGGGTCCATATGGAAGAAATTTATGCAATAAACATTTCTTGAATTACTATGACTGCTGAAGTTCCAGGTAATGAATCAATCATAGGTATATTCATTGTTATTGCTCAGGTGATAGGTTCATATTTCTGATTTATGAGGTAGTATTTATTTTTCCTCTATAAGGGGAAATGGTAGCTGTTTGAACAGAAAAACAAATAAGCAAGCTTACTATGTCATGTAGTATCTCTAGTTTTAGTGTCAACTGAGAAAATTTGAGAAATCTAGTCTGTGTAAAATCATGCCCCAATGAATAGTCATATAAATATTACTACCAAAAAAATTATCTGGAGGCAGCACCAATGGACCATGAAGATGACTCCCATCCAGTGAACAATTACAGGGCTCGGGAGAGTTAGATAAAAGCTTTCATCAAGTCCCTGACTGGGGCTCAAACTCCTGACCTCAGCAAAAGAGCAGCTTGTTGGCAGATGTGAAATGATAGAGTAAGTACTGATGTCTCATGTTCATCTATTTTAAAGCTCTATTGAGAGGCTTCTGATTGTAGCTATGATGGAGGAGCTCTTATCGAATAACTTCTCATTGATATCAACTATAAAAGGTAAATAAAAACAAAGCAAAACAACAACATCATCAACAAAACAGTCTTTATAGAGTCACTGGAGGATAATCCAGACAGTTGGATTTGAGGGACTAAGGTCCCAAAGAGAAAGAAAAAATATAAGGTGGGTCCTATGTTCACTGCTGCTTTTAACACTCAAGACTTGGGGCGCAGGCTGGGAAGAAAGCAGCATCCTAGAGCTGCAGCAGCTTTACTGGGACAGAGATACAAAAGCTGGAATTTAGAGTTACTATGAACTAGAGAAAGCTGCAGAGAACTGAACCCAGCATTTGTTGTGCAATTCTTCCTTGAGTGATTGATGACTTCTGGGCTCTATATGCATAGGATAAGACATACAGAAACTTAGAAGACTGCAATTGCTAAAAGGCTAAAATAGCTAAGCTACAGATGCTTTGGCAATCTGACTGTACGGAGAAAAAACTGGAATTTAGGCTTCCTAAGGTGTGTTCTTCATAAACACCCCAGACTTACATTTGAAACTCCTACTAGACCATGCTCCAGGAGAAAAGATGAACAATGGAAAAAGAAGAAACATCTCCCAACTATTTTATGTGACCAGTCTACCCTTTATTAAAACCTAGTAAGGTTATTCAAAAAAGAAAAATTTAAAAATCAAATCCTTTTATAAATAGAAATTCAAATTCTCAAGACATTATCAAATTAAATACATCATAACCAAATTGACTTTATTCTAGCAATGCTTAAGAATTCAATCATAATATACTACAGTAAAAAATATAAGAAAGCAACATGATAATCTAAATGGATGCAGAAAAAGCATCTAATAAAACTCAACACCTATTTATACTAAAATAGAGTTAGAAACAGGAAAAAAATCTTTATACTATAATTTATATCTCTAAAGAATTTATTGTTAATGGGAAAATAATAAATATATTTTGCTCTCAGGTCAGAAATAAGACAAAGGTGTGTATTATCATTTCTATTCAATATTGTATAGGGAGGCTTAATCAGTATAGTAAAGCAAACAAACAAACAAAAAATTATTAAAGTTAGAAACTCAAAATGGTTATTATTTGGAGATGATGGGTTATGTACATAGAACCCCCATATGTATAAATAATCAGGCCTAACAAGTGAATTAGCAAAGTCACTTAATGCAAGATAAATACACAAAACTTCTATTTTTTAAAATATAATAGCAATAAACTTGCAGATGAATTCAGTTTTAAAGAAATGATACCCTTTATGATGGCAATAAAAGCAATAAATACTTAAGAATAAATCTTTCAGACATGAAAATCTACACTATTATTGAAGTAAATGAAAGAAGATAAATAAAACATATCATTTCCAATGCAAGTATGTTTGTTCATTCTAAATTGATTTATAGATTTAACACAATTCCAATCAAAATTCCACCAGCATGTCTTTAAATTAAAATTGAAAACCTGATTCTAAGATTTTTATAGAAAAGTATGTGTCTAGACATACTAGAATAGTCAATACAATCTTGAAGAAGATTATAGTTAGAGAAGTTACACCATAAGATATTAGCACTTAACACAAAGCTCATAATTAAAACAGTATGATATTGGCACAAAGACAAAAGTGACATAGTGAGTCTAAAAACAAATCTACAAACATACAGTCACTTGACTTTCTACAAAGGTGCAGTTTTAACGTATTTTGAGAAAAGAGTTTTAAAAGTAAATTGAATCTGGTTAGTTTAATATCCACATAGAAAAACACAAATCTTGACCCCTACCTCATACCACATACAAAAATTAATTCTAGGTGAATTTAATGTGTTTGATTAAATATGGAATGGTTAAATGTAATATGTTTAAATGTGAAAAAATCTTTTAAAGGTTAAAGTAAGACAAGATCTACACAATCTCGTGATGAGCAAAGGTTTTTAAAAAGGCTAGAAAAGCAGTAACTATAAAGGAAGAAACTGATAAATGGGAGTATGGTTGGATTTTTAACTGCTTCAGAACATGCAATGAAGCTGTGTGTGGTAGGACAATACCACCTATTCCCAATTCAGCTACTTAGGAGTCTGAGGCAAGAGGAGAAAAAGTTTTAGGCCAGTCTCAGTAACTTATCAAGACCCTGTCTCAAAGTAAAAACTAGAAATGGCTGAGGATACAACTCAGTGATAGAGTTCCCATGGTTTCCATCACCAGTATCACAAAACAACAACAAAGACATCCAATGAAGAGAGTTAAAACTCAAGCTACAGAGGGGTGAAGATATTTGTAGTATGTGCAACTAGCAAGGAACTTGTACTGAAAAATATTAATGAAACCAAAAAATAAAGACAACTAAATTAAAATGAGCAAAAGAAAACTTGACTAGGCACTTAGTAGTGTATGCAAAGATAGAAGATAATATGAAAAGATGCCCAATGTCATTAGTTAACAGAAAAATGTATATTATAGCATAATGACATAACACTGGAGTGGCTGAAATGAAAAAAAACCAAACAAACCCAAAACTTGACAGCATCAATTATGGTTAAACAAATAGAATAAAATAATACTTGCCTACACTGCTGAGTATAAATTAGAACAACTACTTTAGAAAGCTATTTGTAATATCTATAAAAGCTAAATGTACACATACCTTATTTAGATGTCTACACAACAGAAATATATACATATATTTCTCAAAAGCATCTTTAATGTTTATATTATCATTATGTTTAAGAGTGCTAAACTGGAAACAATCCAAATGCCCATTAAAAGTGGAAAATATAAAAAATTTAGATAAATTTAAATGGGATATTGTGCAACACTGAAAAACATCAAATTATGTCTATAAGTTAAAATATGAATATATCATATAAAATGTGGGTAAAAAAGGCGGAAATAAAGCAGTACATAACCATCTATGATTTCATTTACATGAAGTTGGACAACAAGCAGAACCAATGACTGTGGGAGTGAGAATATTGGTTACGTTTGGAGGAGAAATGACTGTGGATGATTGAAATGGGACAGGGGGAGGCTTCTGTGGTATTGGAAATGCTCTGAATCTTAATCTACACATTGGTCACCAGGGAAGGGAACAATTAGTTCAGGGGAACGAAGGGAGAGGAGAGGGAAGGGGAATAGGAAGGACAGTAGAATTAATCAGACATAATTTTCCTAGCCTTGTATTTGAATCTACAACCAGGGTAACCTGCATCATGTACAACCACAATAGGGTCCTAATTAGAATAAGTTAGACTCTATGTATATATGATTTCCCAATGCATTGTACTATCACGTATAACTAAAAAGAACAAATTTTAAAAAGACCTTTACAGTCCAAAAAAAAATCACATGACAACAAAAATATTAATTTCTACTATCTCTAAAATGGGAGATAAGTCTCCATAGCAGATGAATGCATCACTTTTGTTGCAAGAACTCTCAGGCATCACTTTTATTTGCTTGTGTGTTATTTATCTAAATAGTTGTTCAATAAATGACTTGAAGTGATATGAAAAAATAAAGCATTCAGTTCATAAAAATTTATTGAATTGTGTGTGTTATTTAAGGTATATATAGTGCTCTTCACTGTATGTTTATAGTCATCCCTTTGTAGCTATACAAGATTGGTTTCAGGGACCCCGTGGTTACCAAAATCCATGGATGCTCAAGTCCTGTGTACATTAAATCATTTTTGAATTATAATTACTAATGTAAATGCTATGCAAATAATTGTAATACTATATTGTTTAGAAATAATGACAAGAAAATGTCTGAACATGTTCTGTACAGATGTAAAGATTTTTTGAATATTTTCAATCTACTGTTGGCTGAATCCACAGATGTGGAACCTCTGAACATGGATGGCTAACTAGATTTCATTTCATTACAAAAATTTAACAACAAATACCCTCTGTGTATCTTTGGTCAAAAATTCAAAACATTTTAAGACATTAGGCTTTTGAGGCCATTTTGAACAAACAACTCCTAGTTCTAAATTTTCATAATTGGTTTAAAATTATACCTAGTGTAAGAGTAGAGTTGTTACTTAGAAAATAGGCCATAATTCTCAGTATCATCTTTATTATAGCTTTTCAATTTCAACGCTCAAAGTAGTTATTTTATTTCCAGTTGTAATAGTG